CTTCAAGCAAGCAGCCACCTAAGCAAGGCACCAACTAAGTCCACATGGAAGAAGGACACCAGCCCGTGTGACCCAAGGATTGTAAATAATTAATCCAAATCTGAAGGAGGGAATGGCATCAGAGCTTAAATTGTGAGCACTCCATTGGCAGAAGGCTTTGGATGACAGGGAAGCCCCAGATCCATTTGCAGGACCCACACATGCGAATCCCCTCTAACCACAGTGGAAGGATGTGAAAGGCTGTTAGCAGATGGAGAGCGTGCCAATGCCAGCTCTTAGAGACGCTGTAGAGCAGTGGTTCTCAACCTTCCTAATGCCAGCCCCTTTTAATACAGTTCCTCCTGTGGTGGTGACCCCAACCATAAAGTGATTTTCATTGCGGCTTCATCACTGTCATTTTGCTACTGTGATGAACCGGGCGAAACCTGTGAAAAGGGTTGTTCGACCCTCAGTGGGGTCGCGACTCACAGGTTGAGAAGCGCTGCTATAGACTCTGGGTTTCTGAGACGGTAACTCTTTACAGGAGTAGAAAGCCCAGTCCTTCTCCCAAGGAGCTGCTGGTGGTTTTGAACTGCTGGCCTTGTGGTGAACAGCTCAATTGATAACCACCATGGCTAAAATGTTTCTTATTTGATCTCCCTTTTACTATAATTATTAATCAAATACTTTTATTGGGGGCTCTTAAAGCTCTTATCACAATCCATACATTCATCCATTGTGTCAAGCACATTTGCACATATGCCAACATCATTTTCAAAGTATTTTCTACTTGAGCCCTGATATCAGCTTATTTTTCCCTCCCTCCCCCATGAATCCTTGATAAACTATAAATTATTTTCAGCTTATATTGTCTTGTCTCCCTTCACCCACTTTTCTGTTGTCTGTCCCCCTGGGAGGGGGTTATATGTCGATCCTTGTGATTGATTCCCCCTTCCTCCCCCACCTTCTCCTTACCCTCCTGGTATCTCTGTTCTCATTGTTGGTCCTGGGGGGGTTTATCTGTCCTGGGTTCCCTGTGTTTCCAGCTCTTATCTGTAGCAGTGTACATGCTCTGGTCTAACCGGATTTGTAAGGCAGAATTGGGGTCATGGTAGTGAGGGTGAAGGGGAGAGGCAGGGAGGAAACATTAAAGAACTAGAGGAAAGTTTTATGTTTCATCAGTGCTATACTGCACCCTGACTGGCTTGTCTCTTCCTTGTGACCCTGCTGTAAGGGGATGTCCAATTATCCTTTTTGACCCTTTAAAAAGTTGTTTTGGCTAAAAAAAAAAAAAAAAGCGAAGGGGTGTGAATGGTGCTCCCGCCATGGCGAGGGCATTGGAAAGTGGTTGTGGTCAAAACATAACACCTTTTCATGTGATCTCCTTTGGACCCATTTTAAAATTGTTCTAATTTTTACTATTTTCTGCTTTCTTTTCAATTGAGATTTTTCTCTTTCCTTAGTGTTACCATTTCTTTCTGTATGTTTTTCAGTATATGAAATCCAGGATGGATGCATCTGTAGAGATGTTAACTGGATTAATGGTTTTGGGGGGGCCTTGGAAGGAGAGGTTGGGGGTGGGGGGAATGGGGAGCTAATGAACACAAGAAAGATAATGTCAACTTTATTGTGGTGATGATTGTACAACTCTTCTTGATATTATTACACTATTGAATCAAATGATATGTGGATTATGTGCCAATAAAACTTGTTTTAAAAAATAAAGTGCAGGAGGGAGGGGGGAAAAAGGGGGGGAGCTGATCCCAAGGGCTCAATGGAAAGTAAATGTCTAGAAAAGAACAATGGAATATATGTACGAATATGTTGTATACAATTGATGTATGGATTGTGACAAGAGTTGTGAGAGCCCCCAACAAAACAATCTAAAAAAATAAAAATAGGCACCTGGCAAACAAACAAAGTGCTATTTTAAGGGTGCAACTTTGGTGTTAATGAGTCAGGAGGGCCCCTTCATTTAATCCAGAGGTGGGCAAAACTGAAACCCCATGCCACCAGACATGCAGCTAACGTTCCCTCCCCAGGCCCTCCAACTTGGCCTCCTCCTGCTGTACGAGAAGACAAGGAAGCAGGCATGTGCCTGGGGCTTGACAATGTTCATCAGGGAAGTTAGTGGTGAACCAGCAAACCCTCTTCCTGTTCTGCAGCGACTGAGGCCAGCACTTGCAGCTAAGTAACTCGAGATTTTCTTTAAAAAAAAAACAAAAAAACTTTGCTTTTAGGCCCTGAAACTGTTGGAAGAAACTGAACACTGGAGAACTGAAAAACAAATGATGTCAACTCCCAGGGCCTCACAACTGGAGCCAGAAGCCCCTGCTCTGGGCACACATCTGGAGGCATGGGGAGAGCCAATGGAGAGTGGCCGGGCATGGCTGGGTCCAGCTATGGGAAGCTTTTTATAAGAGTCATATGGTTATCCTTTGTTCCACCAATTCTGTCCAAGTTTTGAACACAAATCCTGATGAGTCCCTGGCTGGTGGACCCCGATCTCGTGACTCTCCTACCCAGATTAAAGCCACAGCTTTGGTCTAGATTTCCACGCTGTGATGTGGCAGCAAATAATGTGCTTGTGGAACCAGAGGGCCTGGGTTTGAACTCCGGTCTCCTGCCTACCAGCGAACCCATCTACACCCTATTCTCCACTGATAAAATGAGGATCTAGCCCAGTGGTTCTCAGCCTTCCTAAGGCCGCGACCCTTTCATCCAGTTCCTCATGTGGTGGTGGCCCCCAACCATAACATTATTTGCATTGCTACTTCATAACTAATTTTGCTACTGTTATAAATCAGGCGATCCTAGTGAAAGGGTTGTTCAACCCCCAAAGGGGTCTCGACCCACAGGTTGAGAATTGGTGATCTAGCCTGACTTACTTGGGGGGACCCAGTGAAGATTCGGGGGATGCCCACCAAGATGCTTTGCAAATGAGAAAGGACTAGATAAATGCCATTATCCTTTCTCGGAGAAAATGAGGCCAAATCTGCCCATTTCTTAGGCATTTCTGTGTTTCACTAAATTGATCATTTTCATAGACCAGTAACACTTTACGCTCTTCCTAAATCAGTTTAAGGGGGTTGTGCGGGGGTGTTAGCCCTGCCTGTTCACAAATGACAGGTGTGGGATTCGTTCCTTCCATACTCGATGACTGGGGAGCTCAGAGGTTTGGGGCACAAATGCTCCAGGCTGGTGCCAAAGCAGGCCCTCCCCCCGAGAGCTACTGCCTGGGGATGCCAGCTCCCGGAGCCCAGTCTGTAACCCAGGGCCATGGGTGGAGGCCCCAGTCATGCCAGTCCCTCTTCTTAGAGGCCCCCCCCATTGCATCCTGGTGGTGGGGGTGAAGCAGGACATCGGGTAGTGGCCCCACCAGGGGTGAAGGTCTAGACTAGTCAAAGCACACCTTCGGTGCTCCCTTCTCAACAAAGGTTAGAAGGGGATGCCATCCTCTGGCTCTCTCACCTTGATCACCTTCATGCCCACAGGCCTGCAGAGGGGCTTCTGCTGTCTCTATCGAGGGTTGAGAAAACCAGTAGCCCCATTACATGCACGTGCGCACGCACACACACACTTTCTCTCTCAACTCACTGTGGAGTCAATTCAACTCACAGCAACCCTGAGGACAGAGTAGAACTGTGGGTTTTTGAGACAGACACCCACACCCACCCGTGGGACTGGTCACAGGCTGGTCAGAATTGCCTTAAGAATATAATTTACTACTTTTTGGTTTTTAAGCCTTTGTTATTAAATGAGTTTCTTATTGTGAATTATGTGAGGGGTTTGCGTTTCAAACCACCAACTCTGCATTTAATCGTTGAACCCGCTCATTAGCCACCCCACCCGGTACTCTAGCCCAGTCCACCTCCCCGATTCCTCTGCTCTAGTGGCTCTTTCCTTTTACTGAACACTAAATAAGAGCAAGAAGACCCTCTCCGGAGAATTTCTCTCCTAAACAGAAATCTACATTCCAGTCTGAACTAGCTACTGAGTGAGGCACAAATGATCTACTGAGCTGCTCGCGACCACTGAGGAGCCAGGGGCATGGGGCGCAGGGTGCACGGCTAATAACCTCAAGGTTGGCGGTTTGAAGCAATCGCCAGCTTAGCAGGGAGAAAAGTGCTGGCGCAATCAATATAGGCTTGGCGATCCTCTGGGGCAGTTCTACTCTATCCTACAGGGTCCCTGTGAGGCAGGTTCAACCCAACAGCCCCCAATAACCTAACAGCCTTTCTTACCTGCTGAGCTGGGGGGACTCCCTAGGGGCTGCCTGAGAACCCAACATGCGCACAGCCGTCTTCCCTTTCACAGGAGGGGCTACTCTGTGGACACTTGGGGTGTGACAGGCAGGAGGGACATGTGGAAGGGACAGTCCATAAAGGCAGTCGCCTCAAGGTTGCTTTGCTTCTCAGTCCGACTCGCTCTCCTATGCTAGCGCAGAGGGCCCAGCTCAGAGAACCCCTCGGCCTGAAAGCATCAGTTTACATGCGGCGGGCAGCTCAAAAAAGCCTCCTCCGAGGCTGGCCCTCCATGCCTGCTCTAATTGGAAATGGAAATCATGATTGCTTAGCAGTGTGACTGACAGGGACCGGGAGTTCCACTTTTCCCACACTAGTCCACACCAGGAGCTGATTCCAGCCTACAGTGCCTCAGACCCTGCCCTGCCTGTGGCCGCCGAACTGAGGATTTCCAGCCCTGAGCTCTGGACTTGTCCTTTATCAGTCCCTCCTGCAGGTCTGGAGCGCTCCTATCCCCCCACAGCTGGGGGTAAGTGGGGACGGTGACTGGGAAACCAGGTGCAAGGACAGGCAGGACCCGGCAGAGTCCCCACCATCTTCCCTGCCCGTCTGGCCCATCACAGGGACACCGACACTCAACTTCCATGCCTCAGAAGTGGCAGCCAAGGTGTGGCATGCATCTTGTTCTTGGCACAGGCTTGACTGTGTTCTGGTTATCGGTGTTTGGTGAATATGTACAAGGAAACGGGGACACGAGGAGCACAGTGGATGGCCCAGTCTGAAGAATGTAGCTTTATGTCATTACAGAAGATAAACCAGGGTCACCTTGCTTCCTGCCCGACCCTCCAGGGAACCGAGCAGCACAGTGCCACCCGCCCAGCTGCCAGGCCCTTCACGGCTGCAGTTTCACACATCTGTGAAACATCTTCCCCCACTCACCCCAAGGATCAAACCCAGGGAGGCACCCTCTCCGGAGCCAGCCACTCCGACTCATCTCTCTGAGGACACGTGAAAAGCCCGGCCGTCAGCAGGAAGGGCGCTGCCTCATAGCTGGCGCTGCTCCACCAGGCCCGGGAGGCGGGGGAAGGTCAGGAGCCGGACTTCAGCAAGGCAGGAGGGGCGAGGGGCAGGATGGGGTGGGGGCCGGTAAGCGAGCACTCTCCGAACTACCATCCGCACCAAGACCAGGCTCCAGCCTGCCATCGCCCTCAGTGCAATCCACAGCGCTCTCCTCTTCTCTGACGGGCTCTGGATGCCGTCCTGTCCTGCGTGGGAAGCTGCAAGGATATTCTTCTTCGGCCATGGCTTTCCAAAACCAGTACAGGATGATGTGACAGAGAGGCAGGGGATAAGCAGGCGCACCGGGTAAAGCAGGGCTTGTCACCTCGCCGTGGCAGGGAGGCAGCAGAGGGCTGATGCTCACACAGGCAAGGGAAGGGTCAACACTGGTCCCGCCTGGGGGCGGCCTCGAGGGCCCAAGGGAGAGCCTGATCTCTCACAGGCCCGTACAGGGAGAGTTGCATGAAGGCAGGGGGCTGGCTCACACACATGCAATGGGCAGGTCACAAGGTAACCAGCCCCCCAAAAGCAGAGTCACGTTTTCACTTCCCCACCCTGCTCAGGCTGGTCTCCAGTTGTCGCTGTTCCTGGGTCAAGTACGTCCGGTTCTTATGCTTCTGAGAATGTGGTGCCATCGCAGATGACCAACGGCTGGGCCCCTCTAGCGACCACATAGACCTTCCAGTGGGCAGTGCTGGCATAGCCTTGAAGGGAAAAGGCAAGCACGTTAGCTCAGGGACAGGGACACCTATGGGCAAAAGCAGGGCAGGTTTGGCAGTCTGCCCTCTGGAGCACCTGCAGAGCGGGCAGCAAATTGTGGCCTTCTTCCGGCTCTTCCTGGCAACAGTACTCCTAATTGGGAGCAGTGCTCGCTGTACCTAACTGCCAACCAAGCCCCTCCGGGCCATCGCTCACCTGAGGCAGTTTAGAAAGGCAGGGGGCTCTGGGTGAGGCTGGGCTTGGGCAGCCAGTGTCAGACTGACCTCACTGTGCCGGTAAGAGCATGGGACGGACTCGGAGGCACACCACACCCTGTCTCCGTTTCGCCTGGTTACACTCCAGGACATGCAGATCAACCCACTCCAGCAGTTCCCAGACTCCACTCTGCACACAGTGATATCCCACTATGTCATTCCAAGGAAAGGGGCATCCATGGCCCAGGAAATTTGGGAAACATTAGGTTTCCCCAGAGCTGTGCGGGAAGTATCTACAGGCAGTCATTGCCCCGAGTCATCGGACTCAAAAGCCCTGTTTGCCTAGGGCTTTTGCAAGGGGCCTCTATTCTTATCTCTGGTGTCACCAGAGGTCTGCAGGACCATTGAGGGAGCGATGACCGCTAACACTTTAGTGGGCTAAGAAGGCACACGAGTACATCACACTTCCCTGCCCACTTACACTGATAGTATTCAGTGTGATTTAGCTTCGACTCAAGGGGTCACATTGTAGGAGAAGGGTACAGGTCCAACAGCGCCAACCTCCAATGCCTGACCGACATCCTGGCCCCTCTCCCTCACAAGGGACACTGCATATTTTGTCCAAAAGCATGGCCATCATTAAGGGTCCCGAGGCAATGGAGCCTTCTTTGTTTCTACAAGCACTTACCTATTGTCCCATTGTTGGGCCCCATTCCCTGTCCTCACTTCTAAGTGCAGCAGCTGTGGTCATCGCTTCTGTTTAGGCCTCTGCTTTTGGTACCTGCTGCCCTCCCCACTCAGCCCTCCCTCTTCCTCTTCTGCTTCCATCCAGTCTCCCATCACTCACCTGGCTGGCCTTGTAGACACTGCACCCTCAGGGGACTGCTCTCCTTCCGCCAGCATACCAGCCCCAGAGGAGTCAACCTGGGGTTTGTAGGCTCCTCTGGGAGATCTACAGGAGCCCTAGCAGTGTAGGGATTGAGTTGGGCTATTAACCACAGAGTCACCAGTTTGAAACCACCAGCATGCTGCTTGGGAGGAAGAAGAGGCTTTCTACTCCTGTAAAGTCACAGGGGCATTTCTCTGTCCTTATACGGTCGCTATGGGTTACAATGGACTCGATGGCAGCTTTTGACCACAGCAAAAAACTCCTTTTCTCTGTCCTTATTCTTAGAATTGGCGATCTGAGTGCTGGTGGAAGCTGGGAACCTAGAATTTGGACTAATGAGGTGTTTCTATAGTTTCTGCAGCAGCTAGGCATTTGTAGAACATAAAACCGTGACTTTTCCCAGCCCCACCATACCACCCCCCACCCCACCCCCACCCCCACTGAAAGAAACCACACGCAGGGTTTGCAACAGTCCTTCCTCCAATAAGCACCGTCCCATGATGGGAGGAGAGCTCAGCACAATTTCCATACAAGAATGATCCCTTCTTTCCCCAAAGGGCAGGCCAGCTGCTATTGCTTAATTTGTGCAGTAGTTATTAGTTAATTCTTCATTGGTGAATTAGTTTTAACTTCTAAATTGAAATAAAGTTTGCATAACTGGGGCTGAAGGTTGGCATGGCTTGCAGTCCACATGCTACCCCTAAATGGTCCTAGAACTTTCTAGGGACTGCGGGGTGGGGGCGCGAGTATCAAAAGAAATCAAGCAGAAAGCAGCACGGGCTCTGCAGGCAGCGGAGGGCGCCCGGAGGTTCTGTGAGGCAGGAAAACAGGGAGGTCCACGGTGACTTGAGCTGATACTAGTTTCAGCCCAGGAAGCTCACTGGCCAACTGATCGCCACTGATGGCAGTGGATTTGCACCTGCCTCGTTGGAAGCGGTTTCTAGACCAGCAAGTTGTTGCTGGGAAAACATGGAGCCAAAGCCAAGGGCGAGTCAGCACAGGTAGCAACTTGGCAGTGGGGTGGGTGGCCAAGTCAGTGTTTCCCTGGGGGCTGCTGCCCTACGTACGTCCCACCTTGTTTTATTAGCAAAGTGTGCACCTGAAAGGTTTGTGCTGATCTTGAACTTGATGCTGCGAGAGTACATCAAATCGACTACAACTGCTTGGCTATCTCCCCTCAGGGTCTCAAGTTCCTCAACTTTAAAAAAGGGTAGGAGGGTAGGGTTTGAGGTCTGGTCTAGATGTCTGCCAGAAGCCTGGCCAAGTGAAGTTTGTGGGTCCAACAGGCATGTGGGTTCACAACGGTGTTCCGTTCAACAAAAGATGTTTTGCTGCTACATTCTCTCATCAGTGGCTCTACTGTTGGCACATCAATACAGAGCCTGTTAATAAAAGCTGATTTTGAGTCTACATTATTGGATCTTTGGGAAGGGAATGTTTCCCGAGTTAAAAAGAAGGCAGGGCCTGCCCTCCCGGGTGCTGTCTGCCTACCGACATCGCCGGGCTCCAGCTGCATCACCAGGGACTGGCAGTGTCTCCGGCACTGGAAGGGAGGAATGAGCTGCAACACAGCCTCGCCGCTGCCGACAACAAACAGGTCATGCAGCTCGTGCCTCTGTGGGAAAGAAGAGCGGGGGGCGGGGGAGGTTAGGACCCAGAAACCCCACACACATGGCACCTTCGGCAACGGGGAAGCAGAAGCAATAGCATGTGCAGTTATGTCCACAAGGGAAAACACCTCCTGGTCCCAGCTCCTCCAATCCCTCCTCCAGAAACACTGCAGATTTAGTGGACATGTTCTCAGCAATAGCCCGCTGCAGAGGGCCTGGGGGCCCTCATAACGACTCTCACTATAGCTTCAACGTCAAAAGCCCATAGTCAGAACCGATTACATGGAACTGTGTGTGACCTCCTCCCTGGGGGACAGACAACCGAAAAGTGGGTGAAGGGAGACGTCGGACAGGGCAAGATATGACAAAATACCCATTTATAAACTATCAAGGGCTCATGAGGGAGGGGGGAGCGGGGAGGGAGGGGGAAAATGAGGACCTAATGTCGGGGGTTTAAGTGGAGAGAAAATGTTTTGAGAACCGATGTACAAATGCGCTTTACACAATTGATGTGTGTATGGATTGGGATGAGCCCCTAATAAAATGTTAAAAAAAAATTTTTTTTTAAAGGCCCATAGTCAAACGTCTAACTGCAATTTAGCAAAAGAGGGTCTTGGCCAGGCCAACACCCGGTGGCCTAGGTGTGCGATGTGAGTTTGACACAGCTTTTGTAGTGACCTTGAAGGTCCTCATAACCCATGATCTCCCTGGGCATCATTTGCCTTTCGGCAAGCTCTAGCTTCCGTTTCGGCCAGGACAGTGACGAGCTGCTCTGCGGCACGGAAGGACACCCAATGACAGGGAGGCCGGCTCGGGTTGGGAATGATGATGACAACCAGGACACAAACCTCGACAGTAATGCCTGTACCTGGGAGGGTGCCCTCGGGTCAGTAACAGTGCGGCAGGGCAGAGAGCAAGGATAAAAGGAGAGGGGGTCTCACTCAGGCTAGGTGGTAAGAAGAGGACCCCCAGAGCCCGCCTGGTTTCCCCCCTCTCGGTTCTCTCCCGAGTCCTGCTCATTTGGGATCAATTGCAGTGGGCTCAGGGGCTGACTGTCTGGGGACTGGTTTCCTCTCCACCACTCAGGGTCTCTAAAGCCCTGGGTTTGGGTCCATCTTCCGCTGCCCGCAGCCCTGTCTCTCTGCTGCTCCCAGTGCTCCCATGATGCTGCTGCCGTGGTAACACTAGAGCAACTTCAACTGCTGGTGTGATCGGTGTAGTGGCAACTGGACCGGGTATTTTGAGCTGGTCTGCAGTGGACTGGCATTACACTGGCAGAAGCCCTGACATCTGCAGACTTGAAAAAAATCCCAGAACACCCCAAACAAGACCAAGCTCCTGGCACCCAGAATGGGAAGAAACAGCAGGAGCCTACTTTATTCAGGATCATGGGCTTCAGTACAGATTTTAATTGCCAGGGGGAGCCTGAGTAATACCCCCACCCTCTGAAAGGGGGGTGGTAGGCCAAATACGTAAGTGTGGGAAGCTACAGAGTAGATGAAATGGGCCTTCAAGGGGGCCTCACCCCTCTGCCCAGGACCTCTCTGACCCACTTCCTAGCTTCCATCCCAAACTGCCTCTTGGATAGAGCACCCACAAACACATGACTCTCCCGGGTCTCGGGCCAGGAATGTGGCCATCAGGGTGGGTGAGCGGCCTGGGGAGAAGGACATCATGGGCTAGAAGTCAGGAAGATACTTCAAGCAACCACACTTGAGGTTTTCATCCTGGGGAGGATGCTCTTCTTCCTCCGGAAACAAAAGGGTGGTTAGGAAACGTGGCCTTGGTGAGACACACAGAGCTGGAAACTGCATGACAGAATTGTGCAAGACCAACCTAGTCACTGCAGATGCCATTTCAGAACACCAACAGGTGACGGCTCACAGGGACCTTGCCAGATGGAACACACTCGGATCAAATGCACTACATCTGCGGGAAGAGATGGCGCAGCAGCTTACTCAACAGTCGGAACAAGGCCAGGGGCTGACTGGGAAACAAACCATCCACTGCTTAGATGCAAGTTCAAGTGAAGCTGGCGCAAAGGAAACAAGTCCATGGCAGACAAGAGACGGCTCTGGCAGGCAGTGGGGTCACTCCCTATTTATCCCTCTGCTCAGGGTGTCCTGGTGTCCCTATAACGCTGGCTGCTCCGATGAACTGAGCACCGAGATGAAGAGATAGGCCCTCGCCCTGCATTACATCATGATGAGGAAGATGACATCATGTCCGCAGCTGGATTCCTAGCCGGAGATAAACTAACTGCTTTATGGTCCGAGGCAAGGGCCCGGCACCTCCACCCTGTTGCTGGCAGATGCAAGTTCTTACTTCTAGACAAAATGCTTGTTTTCATAGACTTGAAAATTCTTTTAACACAATTCAGCAAATCTGGAGCCAAATAAAATTATCAGGAGTTGAAGCTCCAACCTAGAGCTGGTCGGGTCATGACTCAGGAAATCTATTTATTCATTTTTTTTTTTAAACAAGGAAATATCCATTCTTTGTACTCTTTGAAACAATCCAGGCTCAAACACCACCTTGGAAGTGTGATCCAACAAGAGAGCATTTCAGAGAGAAGTAAACACACACAGAGGTGAGCTGCCTGGAGTCCGGCTGCCAGAGTGCACCACGGACGGACTCCTGCTGCTTCCCCAGGCTGCTCCTCCCCTCAGTACACACTTGGCCGGGTGCTGAGGTGGGACGTTGGGGGCAGAGTGGGTCTTTCCACGAGACTGGCTGCCTGCCTCAGGCATGTGCCTATCAACACTTCCTTCCTGTTCTCCCCAGGCACTTAAAACTTTAGGCTCTCCCAGCTCTCTGCCAAAAGTACCTTCATCTGTTTGTTTTGGGAAAGCCAGCCTGGGGGTAGAGAGGGAAGGAGAGCCCTTCAATTAACTTGCTTTACGCCCTTGGGGTGTTTCCTAATCTACCAAGCTGGTCACTCACATACAATTCACTCAGGTCAGACTAACAACTCTCAAGTCCCTTCAGATCTTACTGTTCTACCACCTCTACTGTAGAACAGGGGGTTGGCCCCCAGCATTAGAGTAGGAAATAACTAACCTACATACAGTATCCAGGACCCAGCAAACACCTTCATTAAAAAGCCGTCCACTGTCGTCTCCTGGCTAGCAGCAGTAGGGGAGACTTTTGTGTGGGTGTCCCCCAGTGCACCCGTCCGTTGATATGCAGGAGAGGCCAGGATGCGAGCAGCAGCCCAGGTTCCAGATGAGGGAACGTCTAGACCCAAGCTCTCAGGACTTCTTACCTGACTTCCCACAACAGGATCTGGGTGAAGGAGGAAGCACTTTTTCAAGGAGGCATCTTTTGGAAATGGTAGGTGGGTGAAAACAGGGAAAAGCTCCTGTAAAACTTGTGATCTGTTCAGAGGTCTTCTCCTGTAAAAATGGAACAAGAGAAAGCTATTCAGCAGAGCAAGCCAGCCTGTTCTATGAGTTAGAGAGCCAAACCAGGTGGGGAAAACGGAGGGAAAGAGGGGACAACAGAAGTACAATTTCTGAAGCAGGAGGTCCATGAAGAACACCCATTGTGGTGGGGTCAATCCAACTCACAGTGACCTGACAGGACAGGGTAGGGCTGCCGCACAGAGCTTCCATGCATCTTTACAGCAGCAGACTCACACATTTTTCTCCCATGGAGTGGCTGGTGGGTTCAAACCACCAACCTCTGTGTTAGCAATCCAGCACATTAACCACTGCACCACCAGGGCTCCCTCCATGAAGAGGATCAACTGAGCTGTCACCAATGAACCCATTCGGACTCATCATGGCTCTCTAGTACAGATTAGAATTTTTCTTTGGGTTTCCAAAATTGTAAATCTTTATGGGAGCTGAGCCTCCTCTTTCTCCCACTGAGTGGCTGGTGGGTTCAAACTACTGACCTTGCAGTTAGTAGCCCAACGTGTCACCTCTGATGCCAGCAGGGCCCCCTCCATAAAGAACTGTCATGCCAAGCACTTATTCATTGTAACACGTACATGCACACAAATAAACTCTATACCCACAATTGGTACATGCGGGTGGTATGTTTATAAAGCCCAGCTGAAACAACTTGTGTGGGAAGGAAACTACTTATTCCCGGTATCTTGAAAAGAGGCTGAAGCAGCAACAGGCCAGAAGAGGCAAAGAAAGGAAGGAAGAGGGGAGAAAAACTTAAACCTTCTTCTAGGAAGAGTGAGTGGTAGGCAGGTAGCGGACAGCCTGAAGAATTTGATAAACTGGATATTCTATCGTACAAATAAAATGGCAGATTTAAAGCTATATGGAAACGTAACAAAATTATCAAAAGGTTCCAACAAATGCCTAGCAGCCGTTTCTAACTCTCCAGGACGGCTGTGAGTGAGAAGAGTCGGGGGTGGAAACCAGCTTGCCGTCTCGTCCTGAAGGAGGAGCAGACAGACCTTGCCTTCCACAGGGCACAAGAGGAAACAGGAGCCAGAGCTGGGCTTCGATCCTGACTTGACAGAGGAACCTCGGGAAAGTTACTGAGCCTCTCTGATTCCCACTTTTCTGATCTAAAGATGGACAATTGACAACAGGAACTCCTGCTTCCCGGAGCCACCGTGAGGAGCAACATGAAGCACCCAGGCGCGGCACTGGGTGCCAAGAGTGGCTCTCCTCCGACAAGCAGGCTCAGGGCCGTCGACACCGACCACTCACCAGGGGTAGGGGAACGGGAACCACCGGTCAGGAAAGCAACGCAGCCACTTGGTGAGAAAGCCTTCAGCGAAGCCTTCTGCCGCCTCCGGGTAGCGACACAGAAAATGCTGCAGCCCCTCCAACAACAAGGGCTGATGCGTCTTGATGAGCAGGGGGTGGAGCCGCTCGAATGCCCCTGGAGTGTCCTCCAGCATCACCACCTTGAGCGGCAAGTTCTGGGCACAGCCAGTGCAGTTGGCAGGAACGGGGTCTGACTCGTTCTGCTCACAGTCTTTCGTTGACCAAGGGTCCAGTTCTAGGAGAGGCAAGGTTGTGGAGAAGGCAGACACGAGAAAAAAACAACAACAACACAGCTTTACAAACCCCGGAGCTTCAACAGTGAAGCAGGAAAGGTTTCATTGTCAGTTAAAAAGACTCCTAACAACAAGGAGCATCACTGATAAGCTCAAAAAGGTAGACAGGGAATCAGCAGCCTCTGAGAAGGGAGCCAAGGGTCCCGGTGGGGAGAGCGCTGCTCTGGGTACTCGTCTACTTTATGGAAAACATTGTCCTAACATGTGCATATACTCCCTAAATCAAAGAAACGAGTAAGATATAACTGCTGGGGAAAACATCCAAAGGCATGGGGTTGGAGAGGCAGCTCTTCCTGTTTCCTGACCCGAGACCCACACGTCTGGGATGCCCCCAGCCCACCAGGGGGTGGGACAGCTGGGAAGGGTGCTCTCACAAGCACTGAGGACTCCAGCTATGTGCCTGAACCCGGGGCTCACAAGTCCACAATGGAGGAGGTGAGGGCAGCTTGGGGAGGAAGAGTGAAAGAGGGGAGGAGGGGAGGGAGGGAGGGAGGGGGAGAGAGAGAGAAAAGACCTGGCTTTTCAGGGGCCTGTCTCTGAGGTAAAGTGAATCGCATCTGCCCCACTCCTGAAGCAGGTGGGGCTACCGACCACTGTTTCTACCACCAGACCACAGGCTAAGCAGAAACAGAGGAACCGCCCAGGTGAGCCGATGCGGATGTCAGCCACCAGCTGCTGGACACCTTTCTGGGGTGGGTGGGGGGGCTCCCTCTCTGAGGGGCTTCCTCTGTCCCTACACAGCCCTGCTCAGTTTCCTGTTGCCGCCCGCCCTTGGATGCCTCTGGCTTACAGCGTCCCTGTGCTTTTCCTTGTTTACTTTTGCTTGCTCTGCTCTGGCCTTAGTCTGCGTTTGCTGCGAGGCGTGTTTGTGTTACACTACGATTGAAATCCAAAATGTTTCACAACATGGTCTCTGATGACAACCAATGGAAACCAAACCAGGAGAGCGCCTACAACAAAAGGCTGCACTCCACCATTTGGGGCTGCGACCAAGTCCGCTTCTGCAGTTGCTGGCAGCAACCACTCTATTCGGGTTTTCTTTCCGGCAGTGCGAGTTAGGGGAGGACGATGCCTGCTCTCAGCCAAGTCTCCTGAGCAGCCTCCAGGCGTCCTCTCAGAAGAGGGCTGGCTTCTGTGGCACATGGAGCCGGCCGGCCACACTACCACACTTTTCTTCTTCTGGGGGGTTTCAAATGGTCTTTATTACGGGTCAATTATGACCAGTTACTGCCAAAAGACGGGAACTCTGGCTAACAGACATGCGATGAAGCAGAAATAATCATCGCAACGTGTGACAATTATATAGCACCCCAGTCTCCAAAGGACGTGTAAGGGAAGGAGAAAGGGGACTGATGAAGGACCTGCCAGGCCCTGTGGCTCGTCCCGTTCACTGTGGCATTGTTGAACAGGCCTCGCCACTTTTACAGATGGGGAAGCCGAGGGCTGCAGGTGAGAGGAAGCTATTCGTGGGGCACTTGGTGTGGCGGGAAGGGCAGGGAGCATGCAAGGGGCTGCAGGGACAGTGGCTGTGGAGGAAGAGCGAGCAGGCGGAGGGCCTCCAGGGCTGGGCAGGTCTAAGTCTATAGAGCAAAGCGTGGGCCCATCAGAGGCCTGTGAGCCGTAGCTCCTGGCTGGTCTTGGGAGATGACCTTGACACGGCCTAGGGAGCTGGGAGAAGACGCCGCTGCTGCTCCTGACCAGTCAGCGGAAAACCCCACGGGGCAGCTCCACGCAGCACGGTGCGATGGCAGCTCACAGCAGTGACGTGTCACTCCCACTGGGTCGGGAGCCCAACCTGCAAGAGGAAGAGCCACCTCCGGTCTTTCTGTGGCCCTGAGCCCCAAGGTGGACAGAGCAGTGGTTCTCAACTTTCCTCATGCACCACCCTTTAATACAGTTCCTCATGTTGTAGTGACCCCCTAACCATAAAATTCTTTTTTCTTCTTCATAAAATTATTTTCATGGCTACTTCATCACTATAATGTTGCTACTGTTATGAATCGGGCGACCCCTGTGATAGGGCCGTTCACCCCCAAAGTGGTCATGACCCACAGGTTGACAACTACTGGGATAAGCCTGTGCTTACATTTGGTGAGAAACGACCTCACAGTGAAGAGACTGAGGTGGGGCGAGGGGTTCTGGTCAGAGCTCTTCTGTCCCTTCCCCCGGATGGATCCCCAACAACTGAGGAGGAAGGTGTGGCCAGATCCCATGTGCCCTCTTTCCACCAGAGAACGTTCTACCAGGCGGCTTCAAAAAGGGCATCTTCCCAGTGACGCTCCTCCTATGCAACAGGTTGGGAGTCAGGCCAGTGAGCGCACTCCCAGTCTGGAAATGGCCAGCGGCCTGCAGCCAGACTTTGATGCCAACACTAGTTCACCACCTTTCTTCAGCTCCCAGCAGGAAGGCACTGGAAGCCCAGGCTTCTTGGGTCTTCAGATCAGAGAGCCCACTGTCCAGCAGGCTCCAATCCACAGCGACCCTGTAGGGCAGAGTGGAGCTGCTCCTTTAGGTCTCCAAGGCTGTCATCCTCAGAGAGCTGCCTGCCACGCCCTCTGCCCCCAGAGCGCTGGTGGTCTACACTGCCGACCTGTCGGTGGCAGCCAGTCTCTTCAGCCACTTGGACAGCAGAGGCCTCCTTGGCTTTTCACTCCTACACCAGCTACTTCACACAAGACAGGCTGCGGCAGAGCTGAGGGCCTCCTATGTCGGAGTTACTGAAACAGAGCCCACGCTCTGTGGGTCCAAATTCCCATCGTGTTTTAGAATTCACCTCACTGTCTGAGATATCAAAATTCAACTTTCAGCTGGAATGGGGCCTGAGGTCACACACTGTAACCACCCACACCCACCCTTCACTGCAAATTGGACTCTTGGCAGGACAGTCAGAGCGGGCCCGAGGCTGGGCAGGCAGGAGAGGCCTTGGGGCCAGAGGGCTGTTTTCAAAGACTACTCCCTCAGCCTAGCTTGCGGTGGACAATTGTTACACACCCTGCAACTGTGAGTGAGGAAAGTCCTGCAACGCAGAAGATGACCCTGGCCAAGTGTCAGGGAAAACCATACCTTTCCACGCTCAAACGCACACACAAAAGCCCCGAGTACAAAGCACAGGGAAGAGGGAAAGACACCGGCCAGTCTTAGTTCCACAGGGCAGAGGGCTCGGCTCCTCTGCTAGAACCAATGAAACCCCGGGCTTTCAGAGGCTAGAACAATGAGTCCATTGTGAGGGAATCCAAAGGACAGCCTGGATTCACTGAAGCCTCAAAATCAGAAAAACAAGATGAAATCCACAAGGGAACTTCAAAAAGCTCCTGGAAAGATTCCATTTCCCCCAAAACTTCCTGAAGCCCTCCTGCATGTCACTGTGCAAGTAAGGTCCTTCTATTAGAAAGATAGCTCAGCAGAGGCGGAAAGCCCGCGACCAAGCACCCCGACCTTCACTGGCTCACTAGTTAACCCGGCTATTCCTCTCCTTGCGGCGTCTCTGAAATACCCCTTCCAGCACCTCGGCCAGGAGGCAGCCATCCAGCCCTGCCAGTGAAGGCAGGCTCTGCCGGGGCCCCTGCTGGCTGGCAGCGGATCAAAGCCATTTTCAGAAACTGTAAAGACGGAAGGTGCCCTGGTGGCATGTGAGTGAAGTGTTGGGCTACTGACCACAAGTTTGGCAGTTTGAACCCGCCAGCCATCCTGTATGACTGAGCAGCACTCCCTGGCCCATGGGGTCCTCACTTGAAGGAATGAGTCGGACCAGGACACGAAGAATGATTTACCCCTTATATGATGACACATTGTTACATTTCCTCTCAATGATACACTCTTACATTTCCTTTCAAAGGTAACACAAAGAGCTTCCTTCATTTTCCATGTCTCCATTTCAGAGAACCATCACACAGGAGAGTGTACTAACTCCACATCCATCTTCACAAGTGCACAATGGTACTTGGATCGAATCAACAGTGAAGAGATACAACCACACCCTCCTTGGCTCCCTCTCTAGGGATGAGCTCCAAGAACTCATTTTACTGTCATCTGTAAGGCACAAGGCTAACTTGGAGTGGACCACATACTCCAGCCTCATAACACACTCATTAATGCTCCTTGACATTAAAGCTCTGATTGACAGAATGAGCTGGCAGAACTTCATTCTTTAACCCGGTAGTCTATGGGCAGGTTCTTTGCAGGATAGAAGGAAAGAAGTAAATGCCATCAACTGGGTCCTAAAACACAAGGCTTCCAACCCGGGTGACACCTGCTGGGACATTGCCTTTCCGCCCCTGGTGTACTGACTGGAGCTACACTTTTAAAATGTATACCAAAGAATCACCTCACGGCTCAGCTGCTGGCCCAGGAGTTGGTGGGTGGAACCCCTCAGCCACTCTGGGAGAAAAGAGGGGGCGATCTGCTTCATACAGATTACCCAAACCACTCCATCCAGGCAATCCCGACTCACAGCAGCCCTACAGAAGAGGAGAACGCCCCTGTGGGTTTCCCAGGCCGGAGGCCTATACGGAAGCAGACTGGTGGGTTCAGACTGCTGACCTTTCAGTCAGCAGCCCGGCACTCACCTGGGGATCTGTAACAATCACCTGGAGAGCATATTACACTGTGGATTCTGAATCAGTACATCTGTGATAGAAAGGTGACTTCTCAACAGGGCAGGTAGTCAGACATGACTGAACTGGCTCTATGCTTTGCCTGAAAAAGTGGATTTAATTCCTCCCTGAGCAAGGAAGCTGTGAGAAGTCAGTCAGGGAAGGAGCTGAGCCCCTCTGGCTCCTGTCCTCAGAGGCCCAGACCGTCCTGCCAGGAGGTGGAGGGTCCACCTTCGCAGCTCTACAGTCAACACTTCAGAATCAACCTTCCCAGCAAACACCCGTGCATTTCTACATACGTGACCTTGCTTTTGAAAAACATACACGTTTGGCCTGGGGATGTTATCGTCCTCTAAGTTTGATGTAATTTTGGAAATCTTTCCAGGGCTTCCTCAAGGGCACTGCAAACACTTCCAAGTGATGACAATCTGACTGATGACTTCTTGGCTTAAAAAAGGGCATTATGATGGTTGCAGCTTAGCTTCAATTAGTCAACGTCTTCTGAAGCAACACTGAAGAGAAAACCGATTTTCTACAGTTATGCTGGGCCCGAAAGGTATCAGAACAGTTACAAAAAAAACCTCTGCATTCAAGCAACAGAATTAGAGATATATTAAAATAAATTACAAAACTTTTCGGAAGTTAAATTTGTGTAGAGTGAAAGAAAAAGTTCTACAACCCACTTGCAATATTAATTTACTTACAGTGGGCCTAGACCACCAAAACAGCACTGAAGCAGCCCTCCTCTTCCGGAGCCCTGGTGCTGCAGTGGTGAAGTGCTCTGCGCTAACCCAAAGGGCAGTGGTTTGAACTCAGCAGCTGCTTCGAGAGAGAAAGCTGTGGCCGCCTGCTTCCATAAGGGCTTGGAAACCTTAGGAGGCACTTCTGCTCTGTCCCATACAGATGACCTGAGCCACAGTCAACTCGAGGACAACTGGTCAGGTTGAGTTTATTCTTTCTCTGAGAAGGATCCGGCAATCTATTTCTGAAAATCGGCCAATGAAAACCTTGCGGATCACAATGAATCTTGAGGATGGTTCATGATCGGATAGCAGCATTTCGTGCTGCTGTATTTGGGTCACCCTGAGTTGAGGGCTGACTAGTCGTAAAAAACCCAAATGGTGTCAGGCTAGGAACTCTTATGATGGACTGACACACTGTTCCTATCAACCTGTTTCGGACGGTCAACTGACTGGCAACAGCCATACACTTCTGAGCACTAAATTAAGTGACCTATGCTATGAGCAGGAGCCCTGGTGGCATGGGCAGTTAAGTGCTGGACTGCTACCCACAAGGTCGGTAGTTCAGACCCACCAGCAGCTCTGGTTCTGCAGGAGAAGGATGAGGCTGTCTGCTCCTGCAAAGATTCCCAGCCTTGGAAACTCTCCATAACCTGCTATGAGTTGGAATCGACACAATGCTGTGGGCTTTGGCACCACACGGCGAGAAAAGAACCAGAAGAGCAATGAACAGCGGCGCACACACGTCACCCAGTAGGCTGAGGGCTCTAGAAGATGCAGCTAAAAGCAAGCTGGACTCAGATGCTTTCAGTAAGTCTACTGATATGTATAAACTATCGAGTAAGGAAAGAAGTCACAGGAGAAAAAAGTAGAACAAGATAGGGACCAATCCTTCTGTGGTAGTTACATAATTTCATGTCAATATGATATATATGTATGGGGTGGAGTCTAGCCTGCCAATCACGTTACAGCCTGGTGGTACCTATTTGTGTACGTGGCCTTCTCATAAGGAGGGCTCTGGGAACCTCCCTCCCCTCTTTCCCTCCACCTTCCTAATGGCGAGCCACTCAGAGACCTGCTAGAACCACTGCCATTGGACCCACAGGACTTTGCACTCCCCGGCCTGTGATCTTCCTGCACTCTGCATCATTGCACGTGGCTGGGAGAGTCTGAAAGGGACTTACGGACTAGTATCGGACTTATGGACTTGAGTTGGACCAGACTGGGGTGTTTTCCTGATATATAAAGCTTCTTTTTTTTTTTTTTAAGCTTCTTGATGTAAAGCTCTTTCTTACACATAGCTGAGCATCCCTGGATTTGTTTCTCTAGTCAGCCCAGCCAAATACACTTTCCTATGGGCAATGGTCTCACTGCCACTGTTTCAGCATCAGCAGGTTGGAACTTTGGCTCTACAAGATGTGTTATCTGGCCAATTTCTTAATCTCTACAGATGATAAAAGCTGTACCTCAGAATGTAGTAATTTAATGAAAAGACGTTGGGATAATGCCTATTAAAAAACATACTCCAAACTCAGTGCCATTGAGTCAATGCCGACTCACGTAGGCCAGAGTAGAACAGCCCCTGTGAATTTCTGTGCCCGTGACTCTTCATGGGGGCAGAGAGCCTCGTCTTTCTCTTTCAGAGTAGCTGGTGGTTTCTAACTGCTGACCTTGCAGTTAGCTGCCTAATGCACTACGCCACCAGGCCTCCCATAAGATGTCAAGATATAGTATTTCCTGTCCTATCGTGTACCCTAAAGAGAGCTGGACCCTGTCGGTGGTAGATGCCCCTTGTACCTGGAAAGGGCCTGTCTTCCTCATCTGTAAGTGGAGAAGTGTCCTGATTTTCTAGCAGGTACTTCTTGGTAATGGGCAAGGACATCAGCCGGATGTGGCGGATGAGTGAGCACCAGGTGTGGGCTCCTGAAAGCACTGGTTCAGGTGGTAATATGCTGAAAGGCTGAATCACAAAGTAGGTAGTAAGCAAGATTAATCCCAGGGTCACAAGGACCTACAAGGAAAAATAAGAAAAGGATTAACAGCTGTCCCAGCCAACAAACAACAGAAACAGCCTCTGTGTGACTTCCAATGTGCCTTAAGCATGAATCCATGTCCATAAACAAGACATCCACATTCACGTCTGAAAGCCACAATGTTTGAGGACTACGGGGCTATTACCACACATACGGCTGGGAGACATGCCCTCACCCCACCATCAGAAAACACACACACAAACACGTTTTCAATACTAGTACACAGCATTCGCCTAGGACATTCAGCCAGTCAAATTCCCTGGTCACATGTGATACCAAGAGTGAAGGTGGGATCAGAGACATTTGGGGAGAATGCCAAAGGGTTTGTGCTCCCACGCAGGGTGCGTTTTTACCTTATACACCACTATAAGGAGAGGATATTGGGGTTCTCCCCTCTGAGGCTCATTCTTTTCCAGCAGCTGTCTGATAAATTTTTCAATTGCCTTCTCTGACATGCCACACTGATGGCCTGTCTGTCTCACCAAATCGACAGTCTCTGAGAGTTTGTCGTAAATGCTGACCTCGTTGGCAGCAAGATCCATGTCTTCTAGTACCAGATCCCTGAAAGGAGAGAAATGCAGAGAGAGGGTGTCTTTAACTTACTTCCCCTTCAAGTGGGATAGGACCTCTTGCTGTGGAGGGTCCCTTTTTAATGTCTTCTCAGTCCACCGCAGGCCAATGCCTTTGTAAGCCACAATAAAGCCAGTGATGCCATGCCAATTTATTGTGCACGTTTTCCAGCTTTATTTATTTTTAAATAGGTGCTATTGGGGGCTCCTTGCAGCTCTTAGCACAATCCATACATCCATCCATTGTGTCATGTGTAGGGCAGAAGCGGGAGTTAGCAGGGCAGGCGAGTGAAGAGATACCCAGAATTGCTGAAAACACTTCAAGGACCTGCGAGAGGCCAGGCCTCCCCCTCCCTCCCCTTCAGTGACCTTCCAGGCCCAGATGCAGAAGGCTAACCGTTACAGATCACTTTGAACACCATTGCTTAGTCCCGGATCTGCAGACAACAAAGTTGCAGTGGAAAATTCCCCAGCTACTCCCTCCCCGCAGACCCGGGCTATCAAACTCCTCACCTCTCTCCCAGACAGCAGGACTTCTCAGGCCCCCAGCTGGAGACCCTTTCTCTGTAATCCCCTCCCTCCAAGGCAGCACTTCCCTGGCCCCAAGAGCCCCACCAGGGAGCTCTGAACCAACTTCTAAAACTGTTTCCTGCCTTCACCTTCATCTCTTTCCCTCACCAAATCTACCTTACATCAAGCACACGTGCACATATGTTGCCATCATCATTTTCAAAGTGTTTTCTACTTGAGCCCTTGATATCAACTCGTTTTCCCTCCTTCCCCCACCATCTCTCCCTTCTGAACCCTTAATAAAATATAAATTATCATTTTCATATCTTACATCATCTGCTGTCTCCCTTCACTCACATTTTTGTTATTCATCCCCCTGGGAGGGGGTTATGTCGATCCTTATGATGGATTCCCTTTCTCCCCCCACCTTCCCCTTACCCTCCTGGTATCTCTACTCTCATTATTGGTCCTGAAGGGTTTATCTGTCCTGGATTCCCCGTGTTGTGGGCTCTTATCTGTAGCAGTGTGCACGTTCTGGTCGAATTCGATTTGTAAGGTAAAATTGAGGGCATGATAGTGGGAGTGGGGGGGGGGGAGCATTAAAGAACTAGAGGAAAAGTGTATGTTTTATCGGTGCTATACCTGACTGGCTCCTCTCTTCCTTGTGACCGTTCTGTAAGGGGATATCCAATTGCCTACAGATGGGCTTTAGGTCTCTACTCCGTGCCCACCCCACCACCTAATCCACTGGTATGATTTTGTTCTGGGTCTTAGATGCCTGGTACCTGATCCCATCGACACCTCATGATCACACAGGCTGGTGTGCTTCTTCCATGTGGGCCTTGTTGCATCTCAGCTAGATGGCCGCTTGTTCATCTTCAAGCCTTTAAGACCCCAGACATTATATCTTTTGATAGCAGGGCACCATCAGCTTTCTTCACCACATTGGCTTATGTACCCATTTTGTCTTCAGCAATTGTGTCAGGAAGGTGAGCATCACAGAATGCCAGATTATTAGAACAAAGTGTTCTTGCATTGAGAAAGTAGTTGAATAGAGGCTCAATGTCCATCTGCTACCTTAAAACCTAACATATAAATATAAGTACATAGATCTACAGTATTTCCCTATCGTTAAATATAAATATATTTACATATGTACATGCCTGTATTTAGACCTCTATAAATGCCCTTTGCCTCCTAATTCTTTCCTCTATTTCCTTTTACTTTCCTCTTGTCCCACCATCATGTTTGGCCTTTATTTGGGTTTCAGTAATTCCTCCATTACATTGCCCTTGATTAAGTCCCATTAGGCATCCTACGCCCCTCTCTCCATCCATTTTAGTTCACTTGTTGTTCCCTTGTCCCAGGGTTGGTTGACGCCCCCCACACACACACTCCTCCTCCGCCTTCCTTTCTCCCACCTCCCCTTCTCCTGTCCCCCGGGACCATCAGTCACGTTTTCTTCTCCGAATTGTTTATCCCACCTATCTTATCTAGATAGACATGCAGACATTAATAAGTGCAAAAACTAGGCAAAGCCAAACATCAAAAGAAGACAACAACAAAAAAATAAAATAACAAAAAGAAAGCCAATGACAAAAAAGGAAAAGTCTATATTTCCAGGTCTGTTTTTTGACCTTTAGGAGCGTTTTCTAGTCAAGTCTGATGGGGTGCCACACTGTTCCCAAAGTCTATGTTTGGTATTCCCCAGGGACTTCATTGCTTTGTTCCCCTTGCTGCTCTGCTGCACGCCCCAGGGTGATGGGGTCAGAGTGGGCACAATTCCCGCACGTAGTCTCCAGTCCAGCTTTATCGAGTGGTGGGCGGCTCCGTGGTGAAGCGCTTGGCTGCTGACTGAAGTTAGTGATCTGAAGCCACCAGCAGCCCTGCTGGAGGAACAGGAAGCCTAGTGACTGGCTTCCGTGAAGATTTCAGGTGAGGAAGCCCTAGGGCAGTTCTACTGTTATGGGGGTCACCATTCATCGGAATTGGCAACAGCACACAACTGTTTTACCGACCAGCACTGGTTAAAGTTCAACTTTTTATTGTGAATCTGGTGAGATTTACAGAGCAGATCACCAGTTTAAATTTAACATTGACATTCTGTTTCAACTCATGCACTGCTAGCCCTTCAATGCACCATCACTGATCCCACATCTGTTTCCATTCCTCCTCCTTTCCTGACCCTCTGAATTGTGACCTTGGGGGAATGCTGCCCCTTCCATCTCAAATGGCTGATTATGGCAACATGGGGGTGAGTTCAGTTTCAGACATGAAGGGAGTAGTAGTTACATAATCTGGTGTCAACTGGGGACTTAAGAGAATTATGAGTGAAGGAGTGGAGTCTACTCTGTTAATCAGGTCATAGCCAATGAGGCTTCTGTGTGGGCATGGCCTTCCCCTAAGGATTCTGGGAAATCTGGTATTTTTCCTCCTTGGAAGTGGGAGACACACTTCTCTCTCTGCTCACTTCCTTCGAGACATCCCTGAGAAGCCACATGGACCTACCCTGATGCAGCCCTGGGATTTGGAGAAGCCCATCTGGAGACCCCTGCCAGCAATGAGATGCTTACAGTGCCACTGAATCCAAAGACTTTCTACCCACTGGCCCGTGATCATCCTGCATTCAGCATCATTGCATGTGTTTCGTGAGTCTGAAGAGGACTTTACAGATTGGTATCAGATATATGGGCTAATATCAGACTTATGGGTTTGGACTGGACGGGGTTGGGATGCTTCCTTAATGTACAATTATCCTTTATATTAAACTCTCTTATACACATGAGTTTCTATGAATTTGTTTCTCTAGTCTACCCGGACGAACATAAAGGGTGACTATGATGGGCCACACATAGCCTTGGGGGTCCTACCAGTCTCTAGCCAAGCAATATGCCTAGTTTCTTTTATGATTTTGAGTTCCATTCCATTTTTCTCCCAAAATCCAAGACTTTCTAATGTGATTATTTTCAGAGCTGTTGTTAATGGCAGCTGGGCACCATCTAGTTCTTTTGGTCTCAGGGTTGTGGCCAGGGCTGATTGATGTTTGTGTAATCCATTAGTCCACTGGGCTGATTCCATGTCTCTTGATTTTCATCGCTCTTCTTTCCCGGGGCCAGTTAGAGACCCATAGTTGTACCTTAGATGGATGCTCATGAGCTTTTAAGAACCCAATTACTATCCACGGAAATAGTTATGAAGAAGGGTTGTCTTTGTGACCTATGTTATCCCAAGTGACCTTGGTGTCCCAAGACTATGGTCCTGAGCCCTCAGACCCAGTGACTCATTCCCTGGGGTGGGTGGGAGGGGGGTGGTATACAAACATTTTGAGATGCGGCAAAAGGAGACTGCTGCTGATCAAGTCTTTCTTTCCAACTGCACCGGGTCCACCTTTTAGCAACACAAGCGGAGGAAATGATCATGGAAGGCAAGTTCTAACGTGAGGAGCTTTGTTCCCGGTGAGCAAAGATTACAGTCAACACGGAACCAGGGCACAGGGCTCTTCTGGCTGTCCAGGCTGTAACCCCACTCCTCTAATGCAGGCTGAGACCATCAAGAGCCCTTGATGTGCACTCTACTGCATGCATTTAGGAGACCCGAGACTGCTCACGAATTTCGCGTGACCTCAGGTTGTGTTCTCATAGTTATTTTAAAGCTAGCTAGTTTCCCACTGGCCATGGGGGTATAAAATGGACACTCAAGTGGCACAGCACAGTATCATTTATAAAATGAAATTAAATCGCTAATTTGAAAACAGTGCTTGGGTTACATCAGGAATAATAATCATTCACTTCACTGGCAGGAGAAAGGGCAGTGCTTTGAGCTTACTGTCACCTCTTCCGCTGGACTTGTTTTGTTTGTTCTAATGCATGTGGTCTTGTTTTACCCTTAAAGTGCATTTAACCCCAAAAAGCATGGAGGCATTTCACCCTTCAGGAAGGAGCTGCTGCCACCTATGGGGGTGGACCCAGAGAGAGGAGCCGGTGTGAGGTTCCAGCAGAAGAACTAAAACTCTGTTCCTTCTGCTCCAACTTAGAGTGGCCTTACAGCGCAGGGTACGTTGCTCTCCAATTCCTGAGGTTGCACATCTTTACGGAGGCAGGACATCTCACCGTTCCCGTGGGGCAGCTGGTGGTCAAACCACCAACCTCTTGATCAACACTCCAAAGCTTTATCCACTGTGCCACTACGGCCCCTTCAGGAGAGAAAAGGCCTGACTTTTCACAAGCCAGCACACCCAGTGGCAAAGCTGCCTCCCTTTCCAGCAGCACTGTGGCCCCTTCGGCCTGGTTCACTGGCCCCGTCTAGTTCACTGGTTCTTCACCTTGCCTGCACCTCCAATCACCCACTCACCTGAGCCACTCACCTGAGCCAAAATCTCACTGCCAACCAGTCTATTTCAACGCAGTGACCTATCTGTGCAGGAGTTCCGGGAGTGTAAACCTTTATGGAAGCAGGGAGACTCATCATTATCTCTGGGAGCAG